GGATCTCGTTTAATAAACGAGAACATAGCAACAGTTGAATAAACAAGCAGCAAAGACAGCGTCGAACACACTACAAACTGCCCTTAAAGATTTAATTAAAAGCAATACATCAAATGACTGCACTGGCGTACCCCTCCCGGTACTCCGCGCGGGTCGGCACCCAGCACATACCCGACAGTCAATCCTACGTTACACTAAAAAAAAAAAAGAATAAATAAATAAATATAATAATTAAATAAATAAATAAATACCACAATAGAAAAAATATGTTTTGTACACTAACGTTTGTTATGTCACTCCGTAGCCGTGACGAGAAGCTGAGACGATGGTGGACACGGCGGGGAACAAGGCAGCGGCGCTGGTGACGATGGCGGTGATAACCATTGCTGCGGCGCTCGTCCCCCTCTACGTCCGCAAGATGCTGAAGGGCCGCATGCACCTGCCCCGCACGCAGGTAACTCGCAGCCCTCCCTCCCTCTCGTCTCTCTCCCTCTCTCTGTTTCTCTCTGTCTGTTCTCTCTCTCTCTCTCTCCCTTTCTCATTCACATTCCCTCTCTTTTCCCGTAACTTGTGTCGATTATCCTCCCCTCCCCATTTATATGATGCAAGGCCATCTATCAATATATGTATGTAAATTTATCTGTATATACCCCTTATTTTCTTTATATATATTGTGCGTTTGCGTGTCTGTTCGCGCGCAACGCACAGGAAACCAAATTGATCCGCTGACCTTTCCCGCCCCTCCCCAGAGGGCGCTGAGCGGGTGCCTGTGCTTCGGCGCGGGCGTGCTCATGGCGACGGTGTTCCTGCATCTCCTCCCCGAAGCCCGGATGTTCGTGAACGACGCCATGCAGGGGGGCTTCCTGCCGCCCACGCCTTACCCAGTGGCAGAGCTCATCGTCTGCGTGGGGTTCATCATCATCTACATCATTGAGGACGTGGTGCACACCTGCGTCAGAAGGTCGTCCCGCGGCAACAAGGACCTGGAGATGAAAGGGAAAAAGGCACAAGACAAGGACGCCAGGCATGACAACGCAGAGGAAGGGAGTAAATCAAGAAAACAAGATGAAGTGGACGAGAGCTTCCAGCACCTCATGGAGGGCCATGCGGAGCACAGATCGGAGCCCGGGGGCCATTCCCACGAGCACGGCCTCACCCAGGGGATCTCCCTCCTGCGCGCTGTCATCGTGGTGGTGGCGTTCTCCTTCCACAGCGTGATGGAGGGCTTAGCCCTCGGCCTGCAGGAGACGTCGGCGGGCGTGTGGTTCCTCTTCGCCGCCCTCATGGCTCACAAGGTCTTCATCGCCTTCTGCTTGGGCATGGAGCTCCTGGAGGTCGGGGTATCCCTGGTTCCGTTCGTGGTGTCCATGACCATCTTCTCGCTCTCGTCGCCCGTCGGAGGGGCGATGGGCGCGCTGGTGTGGTCGTTGTCCACTAGAGACACTACGGTAGGCGTTCTGGTGCCCACCATCCTGCAGGGGATCTCTGCTGGCACCATTCTGTACGTGACCTTCTGTGAGGTCCTAGAGAGAGAGAGAGCCAAGCCCGAAGGCGGCCCCGTGCGCCTGGTGTGTTTCATCATTGGTTTTGGGTTCATTTCCAGCTTACGGGTTCTGGATGAGGGGTGCAATAAGCTTACTGCCCCTGTGGCCAACAGCTCGCTCGCTTAGGCTCTGTTCTTTTAGATAATGATGATACGTGTACTTAATAGGTTGTGCCTACTGTTTCCATATTGTTCTAAATCCAATTTTGACACTAATCAACAGTGAATATTTTGTACAATATATTTTGGCCATTGCTAATACCACTGCCATCACTATCTTGCATAGCATGTCCAAAATGTTCCAGAGGCGGCAGGATTGTGTAACTGGCTCTGCCACTAATTATATACATCATTAAAGGCGACATTGTTATTTTAGCACTAGTATTGCCACTACCCTTTTGGCGCCATCATTGCTTTTCCGCAGCTTTGTAGCCTTCAGTAGTTCAACATCATCAGCTCTAAACTTCACTAAGGAGATGAAACTGAAGCGGTTCAGTGATATATTGTGATATAAAGTAACACTATCTCCCTTGCTTTTGTGAAGTTCTACATTCTCATTCATCTCACTCCTGTAGATGTCACAATGAACTCCCCTGATAATGCTGCAAGTCTAGAAACACTTATGCTGCGGGTTCGGTGTTTGTTAATGAGTCTTTGTACATTTGTCAGTTACTTTAGACTTACTGTAATAAACACCCCATTCCTTTTTCCTAAGAATGAGAAGTCTCCAAAGTCTGGTGCCATGAAGGAGCTTGGTGTGTAACCTATGCCATCTTTTCCGGTGGAAATTAGTATGTAGCGCGACGTGCCGCTATTCCAAAAGCTGTCTTGTGATCAGAGGCGAGACAGGCTGCTAAGTTCCGCCCACTTCTCTGGCGTAATGGGAATGGCCTCGATTGATGGCTAGCTCTTCTACTGTACTGGTTAATTTTTCGATTGGTACATAGCATTTTGCAA